TTCCCTCTCTCACTCTCTGTCTCTCTCTTTCTCTCTCCTCTCTCTTTCTTTCTCCTCTCTCTCTCTGTGTCTCTCTCTTTCTCTCTCCTCTCTCTCTGTGTCTCTCTCTCTTTCTCTCTCCTCTCTCTCTCTCTTTCTCTCTCCTCTCTCTTTCTTTCTCCTCTCTCTCTCTGTGTCTCTCTCTTTCTCTCTCCTCTCTCTCTGTCTCTCTCTCTCTTTCTCTCTCCTCTCTCTCTCTCTTTCTCTCTCCTCTCTCTTTCTGTCTCTCTGTCTCTCTGTCTCTCTCTTCTCTCTCTCTCTCTCTCTCTCTCTCTCTCTCTCTCTCTCATGTGTGTGTGTGTGTGTGTGTGTAAAAGTATGGAGCTAAAGAGACTTTGGGATGATAGAAGTGTAAAAGGCAGTGGCACCAGCAACACCATTCTTCACACTCTCTTAAATGCCAAGACATAAATATCAAAGGAATTCTCAAATATCATGAGAATAAAGTAGAAACAGAGAAGCTCTTTTTACAAGAAACAAAATTCTGGACAAATTGCTCAGCGGGTTGCCTTATAGCATTATCTAATATACTCTCTGAATTCCTAATATTCTCCGTGAAGGATATTTGGAATAAAAGGCATTCATTGCCATTCATTGCATGTTAATAATCCAGCGGTGTTTTTCTTCAGCTGCTGCCTCCCTTATTTTCCATATGCTATCCGAGCAGAAATGGTCTCTGGACCTGCCTTGCCTGCTGCAAAATGCATGGAAGAAATAAAATCTAATGAAGGAGATAATCGTTTAAAAATACGTTTGTTGGGGGCTTTTCTTCCCAATCAGACAGCAATTATAGCGAGGCTTCCTTTTTCTTGCTCTTTTTCACTCTCTCTCTCTCCCTCCTGCAAGACGGATGATCAGCAGGGAAACATTCGTTTCAGGTCACAAATTGGCTATTGGGGGAAAAAGAACTTAAACAATCAGCCATTTTTCCCTTTTTCAACACACAGCAGTGGAGTCCAAAAGGTCACCCCCGAAAGTTCATAAAAAGGAAAGAGAAAATGCTGCCGTCTGGTTCTTTCCTACCCTGGTCAGTAGTTTGGAAACTGATCTGCAATCACTGCGGCTAACTGGGGAAGTAGTTTTCTGCCAACAAATGGGGATCAAAAGCCACACAAATAAATATACATGAACCAAACAGAAGCAGCTGGAAGGCTCTCCAATGGGTCCACTAATAACCTCGGAAATGAAAAAAGAGCTCAGCAGATCAAAGGATCATTACGACGATTAAAAGCTTAGAGCAAACTTGCTGTGAAATTTAAGCGGCTGAATTTAGAAAGTGCCTGCCGTACAATGGTGCGCGTGATGTTCAAAATGAGGGTTCCCCACCCCCTAGAAAGGGTCCTGCTGCGACGGAATACTCGTAAGCCGCAGCCTTTTGTTCTTAAATTGCACCGAGAGAGGCTGCGTGGTCAAAATCCACACTTTAAAAGAATTCATTCTCCCCGTTCCTACTGTGGGTAGGGCGCAGAGCTTCGCCAAAGTGGGCAAAGTCCTGCAGTTTTGAAAAGGTTGCGTTGGCAAGCTGGATGAGATTTGAAAAGCACAAACAAGGCCTTTTGGGGGGAGATGAGGGTGGTTTAATCAAAAGGATCTAAAATTTATTCCCGTAATTGTTCGNGGAGGAGGAGAGGAAGTAGAAAATAGAGGAGGAGGAAGGGGAGGGGGAAGAAGAGGAAAGGGGGGAACTAGAAAATGGAGCAGGAGGGGGGAAAGGAGGAGGAGGAAGAGGAGAAGGAGTGATGGAAGAGGAGGAAGAGGAAATAGGAAATAGAGCAGGAGGGGAAGGAGGAGGGATGGAGGAAGAGGAGAGGAAGTAGAAAATAGAGGAGGAAGAAGAGGAGGAAGAGGAAGAGGAGGGAGGAACTAGAAAATGGAGCAGGAGGAGGGAAAGGGATGTAGGAGGAAGAAGAGGAAGTAGAAAATGGAGCAGGAGGAGGGGAGGAGGAAGTGGAGGAGGAAAAGGAGTGGAAGAGGAGGAAAAGGAAATAGAAAATGGAGCAGTAGGAAGAAGAGGAGGATAGTGATGGAAAAGGAGGAAGGGGAAATAGGAAATGGAGCAGGAGGGGAAGGAGAAGGTGGGATGGAGGAAGAGGAGGAGGAGGAGAGGAAGTAGAAAATAGAGGAGGAAGAGGAGATGTCCTGTTGCTTCTCGCAATGAATGGTGCCCACATACCAGAAAAGAGTGACCATTGCAACATTTATTGAACTATAGAAGGCACTTACAATACCGGGAGAGAGAGAGAGAGAGAGAAAGAAAGAAAAAGAAAGAAAGAGGAGACGGAGAGAAATCTCTCCCAGAAGGACAGTCGGAAAAGGCCGGACGCGAGGAGGACTCCCCCTCCATCCGAGCAGTAGGAGCCCCCTTTCCTGCTAACAATACAGTACGTGAAAACTAACTACGGTCCACCAACTAAGGGTTAAAATAGCAAAGACTTATTTATTTTGGTGTCATATAAAAAGATAAAAATATTCTTAGGATCAGCGTGTTGTTGTTTTTTTAAAAAAAAAGAAGGAAGGAAGGAAGGAAGGAAAGAAAAAGGAAAGTTTGATTTAGTTGCACAACAGGAAAAGGAATGAAAAGTTTAAAAGGTCTTCTGTGGGTCCCGGCATCTCAAGTCTTGCAGGACAGAAGGTCTTGGTACATTTCGGTCAGATGAGCCGCCTCTCTCTGACCCGACAGCAAAGCACCATGGGTAGTGGAGTAGTACTTCCTGTGCGTCGCCTCGCCCGAAAACATCACCTGCTTAGGCTGGAGATCCATCCAGAAAGAAAGAAAGAAAGAAAGAGAGGAGAGAAGCATCTTAAGAAATGTTTCACAAAACAATAATGCTATTGGGTAGTTCTCGACTTACAACGGTTTGTTCGAACTTACAACGGCACTGAAAAAAGCAAATTAAGGACCGTTTTTCATACTTTACGACCGTCGCAGCCTTTCCCCGCGATCACATGATCAAAATTCAGAGGTTTGACAACTGACTCGTATTTATGACGGTTGGAGTGCCCCAGTCACACCCCTTTTGCGACTTTCTGACCAGTGAGGAAGCCAGATTCACTTAACAACCATGTGGCTCACTTAACAGCTGCGGTGGCTCGCTTGACAACTGCGGCGAGGAAAGTCGTAAAATGGGGCCAGACTCCCTTAACCGATGTCTCGCTTAGCAACAGAAATTTCAGAGTCCGTTGTGGTCGTAAGTCGAGGACTACCTGTATTCTATCACATTACTTCACATTGCAAAACAAATTTTTTCCCCGTTACTTTTCAAGAACCAAGAGGACGCTGGGAATAACTTCAGAAAATATTCCTTTGTTCTAGATTCCTCCACAGTGAGAAGAGATGTCAGACGATCCAGGCAGATTTAGTGGTGAAAAAAACAGGCTAGAAACCAGGAGGCTGTGAGTTCGAGTCCTTCCTTAGGCATGAAAGCCAGCTGGGTGACTTTGGGCCAATCACCAAAAGACAATGAGTTCTAGTCCCGCCTTAGGCATGAAAGCCAGCTGGGTGACTTTGGGCCAATCACCAGGAGGCTGTGAGTTCTAGTCCCGCCTTAGGCATGAAAGCCAGCTGGGTGACTTTGGGCCAATCACCAGGAGGCTGTGTGTTCTAGTCCCGCCTTGGGCTTGAA